AGAGATTAGATAACCAAGAAAACTTATTTCCTTACTGGCAAATACAGCTTTACTAGGATTAACTGTAAGGTTATGTTTCTTTAACTTCTCAGTAACTTGTTTTAAATGATTTAAATGTTCCTCTAATGTTTGACTGTAAATAATCAAATTATCCACAAAGTTAAGTATAAACTTAAATTTTTCTTCTTTGAAAACTTGGTTAAGATAAGAAGATAGAATTCCGCTACCAGAATGAAGTCCAAAAGGCAAACGATTCCACTCATACAGTTCATAATTAGTTGAGAAGGCCGTAATATGTTTACTATCTTCCGCTATTTTAATCTGATGAAAACTTTGTGTCAGATCTAGCACAGTAAAATATTCAGAATCCCTTAGATAGTGGTATAATTCATGAAGATCACCGATAGGATAATTAACTTGTTCTATTTTCTTATTCAACGTACTGTAATTTATTACCAACCTATGTTTGTCTGAGTTAGGCTTCTTAATAACAAAACTAGGACTGGCATAGCTTGATAGACTGGGTCTTATTATATCTTGTTTTAATAATAATAAGTCATCAATAATATCCTTGACAATTTTATTCTTAGGAGGACTTAATGGGTAACTTTTCTGTTTAACAGGGTTATTATCTTTCAACTTTAAACTAACTTCAAAGTTAATAGCTTCACCTATCTTGTTAGTAAAAACAGTTGGATTATCTTGTATTAGTTTCCTTATCTCGGGTCCTGCTTGATTACAGCCGACAACAATTTCCTTGTTTACATTTGCACTGATTATTGTAGGGTTATGACTCAACTCAATTTTAAAATCTGGGCTGAATTTAAAATAACAACTGTCTGCACTTAGATCCAAAACTAAATTTGATTTCTTGATAAAGTCAGATCCTAATATTACTCTCCAAGCTAGACTTCTTGCAATTAAAAATCTTACTTTCCAGGAAAAATTATGTATCTTTACAATTAGCTTACATTCTCCAATTATAGAAATATCGTTATTTATTGCTGACTTGCAGTTAACATTAACTTCCTTTGCTTCTTTAACTAAGTTACATTTGGACATTTTCCTGTACATATCTTCACTTATTAAACTGACACTATTTCCTGAATCTAAGAGGACATTTTCATTTATTTTATTTCCAAACATTACTTTAAGAGTGGGTAGCATAGGTTTTCCTATCTTAGATTTTAATCTTGTTTGTTGTACTGATCCGGAGTGATAATTTATTCTTCTACTGTACGAGTTAAATTTTCTTACTTCCTTATTGTTTATCATTTTCTGAACTTTAATTCTACCAGAGAAATTTGCACTCTTTATCCGGGAAAAACCTATTGTATTATAGTGGTTTATGGTTTTTCCCCAGTTGACTCGTTTTTTGGAGAGGTAGGGGATTCTTTGGCATGATAGTTAGGGGTGTAATTGTTTTGTTTCCTAAAACAATTGCGAGCAATGTGTCCGAGTCGGTTACAATTGTAACACTTGGGAGGTGTTCTTGAAACATTTACATTGTTAACCATCCGGTTGTGTTGTGACATAGGGTGTACTCTAATTGAACGTCTACAATCATCCTCATAGGCGACATTTTGAGCGTGAATACAAAGTTGGTCTAAATCTTCAAAAGTTGAGGGCATTTGATAAAATACTAACTTAGCTCTTGTTTCGGGATTCATTCCGATTGTAATCAATTCTACTAACTCCCGTTCAGAGTATGCACAGTTCAATAGTTTAGCATTTTCTTTGACAGCTAAAATGTAAAAATTAAATGCTTCATTTACCTACTCTTTGGGGTCTGTTAACTAAATTTCGTTTCAGACTCTCTCTGAGACCTACAGGTACAAAATAACTTAACAAGTTTTGATGTAAAGCAGTTAAGCCTAACTTCAATCGTTTACATTCCAATATCTTGATATGCAAAGGCCCTGTAGTGTAACCTAAACATAAATCCACGATTTGCTCATCTGACAGTTCGGTTTCATCTTTTAGCTTTAATATGTTTCTGATAAAGCCTAACAACTTATTAACATCCAAACCATCACAAACTTGAAAGTTTTGTAAGTGAATTTGAATTGGATTTGGTAGCTTAGCGAAACTACATTTTTGGTCCTCTTGTACATTAAAGCTCGATTGTGTTACTTTTTCTACACATTTTAATTTTTCTGAGAAAACATTTTCAAGCTCCTCCTCTTCTAAAATACTTTCACTTAGCTTACGTTCTACCGTAGCTTTTTCATTTGCATCAAAGTTAAGTTTATTAAAAGATTCTTTTTTACTGACTTTAACTTCTCAATCAACATGTCTACTTTAGATCTTTCATCCTCGCCCAACTTAAACTGATTTAAGTTCTTTACTCTACCTTCATAGTGGTTAATTTTTATTTCTGCTCTAATAAAACTATTAATATCTTTACTATCTTTAAGATCCACAATTTTATCATCCAAACTTTGTAAACTATTATTTAAAGTTTGAATTTCTTCTATAACGACTAACTTTTTTGATAGATTATGAGCGTTAGGCATTACTTTAATTTTTATTCCAGCTCTAAATAATTTTCTTAACTCTGACACACTTTCATTAGGATCAAACTCAATCCCTCTCACTAATAATTCATATTGAAGTTCTTGTTTTAGTAAAAATTCTACTTTTAATGCCATTTTAGTTTCTTCAATAACACATTTTAAATCAATTAAAGAAATTATATCTTGGACTTGTCATCAAACTTGAGTTAAGCAGAGTTTAGCAGAGTGGCGCATTTTGTAGTGTAACTTGAATTAAAAACATATTCAAGACATTTAAAAACAATTTATTTACTTCCAAAATTATAAACCTTGATACACTGACATCTTTTTCTTTAAATTAACTTTTATTAAGATCATTCTCTGCTCAAATTTGATTTTTAACATTTACTTTTCTTTACACAATTTTGGATATTTCTTGAATTTGAATTATTATTTAGTTTCATGAGCCCTAAAAAAAATACAATAACATTAGAATTCTAGAATTAAAACTAAAATAAGCTGAAAAGGAGTAGATGAGACATACTGAAAATAAAAAGGTTAAGACTATTAAAAATTCGAACAAACTTGCCCAAATTGGGGTACCAGAGACTATGATGGTTAATCACAAATGAACTGAACTACAGTAATACCAAACTAAACCCGACTGAGGAAGAGCCTTGCAGCACGTGCTGTCTTATATACCTCCCCCTACCCCAATGACGTCTCATCTACTTTACAAGAATTATTCTGAATTGACTTGTAACATTTTGCTATTTGAGCAGAGTTGCAAACTATTTCTTTAATAATAACACAAATTTTCAAATTTTATTTCAATACATAAACAAAAAAATATTAACCTAATCAAAAATGCTATAAATTTTTTAATTTTGTATAGTCATAATTGGTTTTTATTCTGTTCGTATTAGTTTTACTTACTAGTATTACTTTATTCGTTAAGCAATCAAATAAAGACTATAATTTTTATGCTGTATATTAATTGTTGTCATTCCTGCAATAAAGAGATTTCTATTCCATTCTATTCTATTTTCGTACGATATTTTTTATCTTGATGTTGTTTGATAGGGAATTTACCCTATATCTGGCATTAATCCATTAATGGATGTCAAAAATTTAAGCGTGAGCTGGCAGCATAAAAAAATTGATGTTTAGGACATGGTGTGTTTCAACTAATTTCATATGAGGTATAGAAGCAGGCCTTTTTAAAGTTACAAATATCCCAATTGTTTATTTTCCCTTAGTACAAATAAGGAAGCTATGAGAAACTAAACTGTACCCTAAAGAACATTGCCAAAATTATGACATTTCATAAATTATGGGCTTAAATAAACACCCTAAAGAAATTAAATGGTGCCAATGACGTGAATTCACACACTCATGCAATAACACGCAAAGCAAATTTCTATGGTGGAAAAGTATATACATTATGTAAAACGAGCTGTTTGGCCCGTCCTACGTACGGGAATCGATCCATTAAAACATTCAAGCATAGTATAGTAAAGAAAAATCTGCCATGAGGAATTAAAACATTTGATCATTGTTTTTTCCCAACATTTCCTCAAAAAGTTGAGTAGTAAAATAATTTTCATAAGCTTTCTTTTGAAGATTCGTGAGCTTCGATTTATATACAGCAATGGTTATAGAATCTCTCTTATTTCATATAATCAATGACAAAATCACAGAGTAAATAAACTAACCTCATAGTTATATAGAATATTTTTTTATTCGACCAGCTGTTAATCATAACAAATTATATTAAACTAAAACAAACTAAATATTTTAAAGACTGCTCAAAAAAATAAATTAGAACATCTAGTATTTTACTAAGTATATTTAAATAAACGTACTCACTCTCTTACCGAATTTATAACTTATCAATAATTATAGCATTACATATAGTATAAATAAGTCAATTCTACAAATGTCATTTCATTTTCATCCAAATGCAGAATTTTTTGTTACATTAAGCAAATGGTATTATGCCAAAAGCTAGAGAAGAATTTTAGCGTCGGCTGCTAGACTTTTCAAATTTAAAACTTAATTTCTAAAAAACTGAAACTCTAAACTAATATTTTGGTTTCGACATTCCCTAGTTCTCAACATTATCTTTCTTACAACACAAAAATCATAAGAATCCGTCAAGTGGTTGATTCAGAATCGTGAAATAAAAAACCCCTGTAACGTTTTAATATATACATGATGATAGCAAAGAACACAAACCAATCTAGTTCGTATCAACTACTCAAAATGCAGTTTACTTTGCAACCTAAGTTATGTTTCAGAGATGTTCATTTAATGTAAAAACTGAATGTATAAACTCATTGAATCATAACATTTCTTCAAAAAAATAAAAAGTTGTTGAAGTTGTGAACCAACACAAACTATATTAAAGTGTTGTTCAGGACTGTGTATTTTAATTTGTACAGGAGGAGTTTACTCTTTGATCATTATGGGGTTGTTGCTTGCTTTTTTCACCTTAGTATTTGAGTACTACAACCCCAAGGATTACAGATCCCAGGCACCATCAAGTAACTCTAGCAAAGGACCTCATTCAAGCTCATTGCCTTTCCAGAGGTAGGTCATTGTCAATAACTCATCAACTAATAATAAACTGTAATACTAGTTTTAGACAACCATCAAGGTTCACTAAATACCTGATGTAATAAAATTACTTGTAAGTAATCCTTGTAAGTATATTAATTACAAGTATTATACTACTAAGTATAATACTTTAAGTATATTACGTTACTAGTTCTGAAAATAAGTGTTTACCGGACGAGTGTGGTCGTACCCGTGCGAGACGAAGTCGAGTGCGGGATTACCAATCGAGTCCATTAAACACATTTTGGACGAGTGACGTAGAATATTTTATGCCATACTAAGCTAACTTAACAAAAAATATCCCCGCCGCAGCAAACCTGCAGACTAAGCGGATTTCCATTTGCCTGATTGAATTAACAGTAAAATGTCTACTTAAAAATATAACATTTATTTCCTATTTAGAATTAGTTTAACAAGTACTTAGATTTGCTGCATCAGGGAGGGTAAAACTGGTTTTTTTTATGTTAATAGTTAGGAAGAAATAAAAACATTTTCCAAATTTGATCAAAATATGTTCATAAACAAGCAAACTACCACAGTTTACTTGTTCTCCATAAGAATATCATGGGAATTTTGAATATACATTTTTTTGGAATTTTCTCCGTAACCATTAGGCGCATGAAAACGCTTCAATATACTAATTTTTTTTTAAGCTCTACAAAATGGTTTGGAAAGAAATTGTTAAATTTTATGTTTTTGGGTCAAAAATGGGAAACCCCTATTTTGACCCCGTAAAACCCCCCGTAAACCCCCGTTCCCATAGTCTGATCATGCTGGTTCGCAAACTCGTTCAAATAAATGTAGGTTTACACGTTTATACTAAATTGCATCAAAATTGGATCATTTTTGCTCGAGTTATCGTGCTAACGGACACACACACACACACACGCACACACACACACACACACACACACACACATATATATATACATATATAAAATTTGAACCAATGGTGTTTTTGGCCTCTGGGGACATCAAAATTAAAAAGTAAATCGGTCCCGGGCCTAGGTCTTACCGTGCCACCTACAGTAATAGCTACTTCCCTATAGGGAAATTCGCTAAAAACAGATTTATTGTACGACAAAAGCATGTAAAAAATATCTTAAGCAACAATACTACTTACCAATTAATTGTAACAGGTTTTTATTTCCGGTCTGAGCTACTGACCAATTTACTACCTTTAGTCCATCAGTGACCTTGAATACTTTACTTTAGGCCTAATACTTTTCAATGAAATGGCGACCATAAAAAGTTATTTTAAGCCAAGTATGAATGGAGATGAGTGTAGGATGAGTGGCGCGATCTTGTGGTCTTGTTAGTGACTAAGGCCGACTTATTCCTTAGACACAGCTAGCTGTTAATTAATAGCCCATACAGCTAATGGAAACTAAGAGACCTACAGTTTATAGTGGAATCCGAACCACATTTTTTGCCTTGGACGAATTTGTCTAATTTTCAGAATAGTACTGCGGACAGTCGTAGTACTCACTCGTGCGGACGTTAATCCACACCAGGAGTATCGCATCCACAGTGCATGCCTATAAATATCCGCAATTCGTAACCTCCTAGTAGCTGGATTACAGGATGCTGCCATCCGTCTCAGTTATCTTTATGATCTCTATAAAAAATATCATGTTCTTTAGCAGCTTTAGGATCGGTCTATTTAGATCGCCCTACCGGCGCATGTACAACTTGATGTGTAGGATCAGTAGCGAACATGTCAAACAGTTGATTTATTAAAATATTAAGGATAATATGAAAGTAAAATTTTGAACTCTGCTTTAGAAATTAAACTTAACCCCAGGTTTGAAATGGGAAGACAAACTTTAGGTCTTAGGGGTTAAATGTACTATTTTGTATTAAGTTCATTTTAAGTATTTTTTTTTAGCTGCCGCACAGAAAATGTTCGATATAAGTGAAGCCACGGAAGCCAAAGTTACAAGCGTTGTTGCTAAGTGGCTTCAACAAGCCAAAACCAGATGTGAAAGAAGGTAAGGATAAAATATTTTCACCAACTAACTATTAAACTCATCACTAATAGAATTCCATTGGTAGCCTAATAATACTGTACAGTGGACTCTATTATACAGGGGAGGAGACAGTTGAAACTGACGTGCCCTCATACTTGTTACATGATAAAAGTTTAAGGAAAAATAAAGCTAATAAAGATAACTCTGTAAAAAATAGCCAAAATATAGACACCTTGGGATAATTCATGTAAACAAAACACAAGATGCCAAGACTTTGTACCTTTTAAATCATTTGATCTTTAGACATGTGATGAATGGTCTCAAATCTTTCCTACAAGACAAGTTGTTTCAGTACCGCCCACTTCCTGCCGATCCAGTGTGGTTAAATCGTACTGATAAAAGATTTCTGGTTTAAGAGATATATCTTCTGCTGAGTGCAGTCTGGTTACAAGGTGTTAGGGTAAAAAGGAGTCTACTGCATAATGGTTTTTCATAAACATGTTTTTTATTGTTTATTTGTCATTATTATTGCTCAAGTACTGTATAAGCTAAAAAAATGAAAAATGCTAGTATTTTTATTCTTGTAGAGGGGTTGTTTTCATGTTTCATAGCAATGCTGGGCTTACCTGGGTTAATTTATACTGTAAATGAAAGGTTATATATTGTAGAGTATGAGCAAAATTTGTAACAAATGTCTTGGCTATATTTAGGATAACCAACCAAGAACTATCACTAGTTTTATACTTAAACGATAAAATATAAAATCCCGCAGATTCACTTACGGATTTTATCGAAGTGATAATGCCGCAACGCCTAGGTCTCGCCTGAAGTAATAAGAAAACAATCCTGATGGGCTCGTGTCTAGCATTTTTTGACAAACAATGTAATTGTGTGTTATACATACTGTGGGAATATCATATATTGTATTTGTATATCATTGTACGAATAAATTAATTTTCATTAAACAGGCCTACACTTGTTGTGAGTTGAACTGCGTTAGTTGAAAACTTTGCTTACTTGCTTATTTTTTATACCAGATACAAAATTAATCATTTTGGTTAATTATTCTTAAATTTAATATTGATTCTATTTGTTTAGAATTTTTTCAGAGGGAAAAAACCTACCACTGTGGACAATGGGGAAGAGGTTCCACTCAGTGGGGATGAAGATCCAAAAATAAATTATGAATCTAAAAAGTGATACATTTGAAAATAAATGTAAATGTAAAATTTTAGCGTGCTTGGACTGTAGTCTAGGGATCGTCACCTTAGTTAAGAGACGTGGCATTTTCAAATGTATATGTGTTATGTAAATCTTCAATATAAATCTATTTAGACAAATTACCTCTTGTGTTTTATTTTTAATTTCAAAGAATTTGGAATTCCTCGTAGGTAATGAATAGTAATAATAGGTAAATCTTGTCATTCTTGATCACTTTTACAAGCAAGTTAATCTTTCATTGTTACCAGATCTTTGTGCAGATATAATTGTTGGACATGATATTTTGAAAAACCATGCAAGTATTAAAGTAGTCTTTGGTGGCAACAAGTCATAACCAACTGTATGTAGAGTGGCAGCCTCAACTGTAGAACCGGTATCTTTGTTTTCTAATTTAAAACCGGAATTTAAGCCAATCGCAATCAAGTATCATCGCCATAGAACCGATGATTTAAAGTTTATTGAAAACGAAGTAAGTAAATTGCTTAAAGACGATGTTATAGAGCCTAGTATGTCTCCATGGAGGGCTCAAGCATTAGTAGTTACTACTGAAAATCATAGAAAAAGAATGGTCATTGACTACTCCAGAACTATAAATTATTACTGGAATCATTACTGGACGCTTACCCACTACCTAGAATCGATGATATCGTTAACAAAGTCATTACTCTGCACAGCCACAAATCAAACTTGTCTCCACACTACACAGCCCTGTCTACTTGAAGAGATTCAATCGTACGTCCAAGTATGAGCCACTTGTTGAAGAGGTCCAATTTCTTCACGGGAATGCCGAGTATGCTCATGTTAAGTTGCTTGATGGAAGAGAAACTACCGTGTCTACACGTCATCTTGCTCCGGTTGGTGAGTACCAAACTGACATAGAGCTAACCGATTTTGAGAGTGATGAAAATACTCTATTACCCACTTCTCAACCTGAACCTGAATACTTTCCTAGTCCATCATCAACACAGAATCAAGAAGATGAAATGAATACTACTGCCGAGAATTTACAACCTAGACAAGAAGCTTCTAGAGGAGAGAACCATAACACATATCCGAGAAGAAGTTTCAGAAGCAGAAGACCTCCTAATTATTTAAATGACTACGTTCATTAACATCAGGGAGGAAGAATGTAGTAAAAAAAAACATGTGTCTCCAATTCTTTATTATTGTTTTGTTGTGTTTAAAAACAAATCCATTTTAATTCAATGTAGTATTGTTCAAGTTATTAAAATTGTAATGAGAGTGTAATATTACATGTCATTCATTCATCATTAAAATTAATTTCTCTTTTATTTTGTATATTTTCTCCCATAATGTCTGTTAATGCCTCTGATAATGTTATTAGTTATTTAATATGTTTCTCCTTGTTAATGTGTTATTTTATCCAATTTTGTTCAATGTTATATAATATCCCATCACCCCACAGAAACATCATCCTATTTTATGTTACAATATAATATTTATGCAAATTCTCTCCATACCTATCCTGTACTCATCAAAAACCAACAATAATCATTTATTTAGAATAATATAGAATTGTAAGAAAATTGCAATATAATAATAACATCTTAAATATAGTATCATTTTTCAAAATTATCCAAAGAAAATCAAAATTACTGTGGCAAGTGTCATTCATGTAAATTAACCAGCTGTACATCACTTCAACAATGGACATGGACTTCCTGAGCTTCTACCATTGCCTCTCCCCAGATCCTGCCAACTCTTCACAGTGTGAACATCATTCTATTGGAAATTGTGTTTAATTTAAACTAAAATTCATAATCCCAAAGTAAAACCTAAAATTTAAATTTCTCATCATCCAAAAGTATTGGACAAGTGCATTGAAGAGTACCAATTTATAAGAAGACAGACACTCCAAATTTGGTAACCATCATCCATCTTATTTAACTAAGGACAAATTTAATCTTCATTGGACATTTAATCAGCATAGCCTAATAGGCCCAATTAACCTAATTCATCAGGATATACATATTTCAAATTGAACTTTTATTCAAAATTTAATCTTTAAATTCTATTTTATTTCATTAAATTCAGTGAAACCATTTGGAATATTTCTTTGGACATTAACATTATTATATTAATAGCATCACAAACCTAGTATTTCAGAATAATAACTAAATTAAATTATCCACATTTTAAAGAAGCCTAATATATCATTCGAACCGGCACGACCACCCCTCCCTGAGATTAAGAGCTCATATTCAAATATTAATTAGTACTTAAGAAGAAACCAACCCAATATAGGCCTAAGCCTAGAGAATCTTTTCATCCACTTTGGAACCCCACCATTTTGAAAATTAACCATTGTTAACTTACCCTGTAGCTAATTCAACCAATAACTTATCTTATATTTGTATTTCATTAACTTAATAAATTATATATTGTAACATACCAAATCTCTTTATTCAATAATTCATAATTATAAGATTAAGATAAGGACTTACCTTATTAGACAGAAATAAAACACAAATTAGGAATTATCTTTATAAGAAAGAAATGACATTGAGTTCAATGTGGGCTAACTTAGTAGCCAAAGGAATTTTGTAGGCCTAAGTTAATGAAAGTCTATAGAAAGCTTTATGGTGCGTAGCAAGAGTAAGAATGAATGAAAAAGAACCTTTCTAAAGGTGATTAAAGTTCTTTTCATTCATTCTTACTCTCATTACAAATAGGTAAAATTGTAAGATTGAAAACTATAATAACTCATCTTTTCCTGCTCTTTTATAAAAATAAGTTTTTAGATGGTATCTCGCTTTTTTATTTAGAGAGGTGTCTTGGCATTTAACAACTAGAGGTATTGAAGTTATTAGATTATGTTGTGATTGTGAAAAATTGTCTGAAATATTGGAAGATTATATGTGCTATGCATCTCAACCCAAAAATATGACATTTTTATTACATGTGTCATATTTTTAAGTAAAAAGATTTAACAAGCCTTGAGTGTCGTATGCTTTACTTGGATAAGTGAATCCTGGTAAAAGCATATGAACAAAATTTGCAGGAGTAAAAAAGAGTTTGTAAGTGGCTAAAAAATAATTATTTCTCGGACTTTTCAAGTTTTATTCAAATTAGATGTTTCAATTTTTATTCAAATTAGATATTTCAAGGTTTATTAAAATTAGATGTTTCAAGTTTTATTCAAACTGGAAGAGCGGCAACTTCGACGCATGATTTTAACTTGAATCAAGTTTACAAACCCGATACTTCAAGTTTACAGATTTGACAAATCAAACTTATTTCAAGCATGGATCAAGTATTTTTTTTTCAATTTATATTTAAATTAGATATTTCAAGTGTTATTCAAATTAGATGTTTCAATTTTTATTCAAATTAGGCATTTATAGTATTATTCTAATTAAATGTTTCAAGTTTTATTGAGACTGGAAGAGCGGGAACTTCGACGCATGATTTTAACTTGAATCAAGTTTACGAACCCACTTGAGCAAACTTGATTCAAGTTTGCAGATGTGACAAATCAAACTTGTTTCAAGCTTTAATCAAGTATTTTTTTCTATCTGGGTATATATTGGAATATTCAGGGTTTCCGGTCTTGGTTGCCACATCTGTGTCATCGCCCAACACCCTGCCCCACTAAGACTGCATGTGGTCCAATTGCGGCTCAACTCCATCAGGGATGCTGCGACTGGTAGTTCAGACCTAACGTTAGCTACAGATCTGCCCACCAATAAAATTGTCAGCTGAGTGCTAGTTATTAAGCTTTGCTGAGAACTTTGAAAACAAACTCTTGAGAAGTTAACTGAGATTATTTACTTAAGCAGAAGGAAGTGTTACCTACTCTAGATTATCAACAGATATTTCTCTCTGAATTGGTTTGATTGGATTTTGAGAGCCATTTGGATTCAATTAATGAGAGTCAATTTAGCCTATGAGAGTTGAGAATAAATTTGATTAAATCTTCGGCAGTGGGACTTAAATGAATTTAGCGGGGTATATTTTTATTCAGAACTTTTGATCTGACTAAGACTTTTGTGTTGTGAGTGAAGGTCAAAGCCAGCGGACAACTGGGTAGATTTAAGATTATTATAAGTGTTTTGTCATCTGTTTAATTGTGTATTTATCTTATGTGTAAAAAAATATAACATTTCAGAGTAAATTTATGTTCTACTGAGTCTAGAATAATTTGGAAAAAAGTAAGCACTTCCCATCAGTATAAACATTTATTTGACAATTAATCTTAGATAAAATTGTGGTTGATATAAATATTTTAGGATAAGGTTCTTACATAGATATTCTATAATAGCCAGACTTATATGAACTCTCTCATGCTGCTATATTAATTGTGTATTCTGTTTCTTGTGGTATATTATTCAATTCTGAGTTTCATTATATGGTTGGAGGATAATACTTGTTATTTTTTAATCCTGGCACTTAGTATAATTAATAATTCCATCACACTAGCCTGCCATTGTTTCCTTGTTTTACAACTGGCAATCAGAAGCTATTACAACAAGGTGGCGTCCTCTCAATCATGACTAGGGTTACCCCTGGATATTATGATCTGGTATGATTTCATATGAGTAAAAATGATTCATATGAGTATTTGTGGACCACCCCTACTCTACCTGGAGCATTGGAAGTTATATTAAACATTTTTCTTGAGCTAGTTGGGTTACAGGACAAGAGCACCTTTGTTAATCAACATGTCAACCCGAATAAAGTATGCAGTAGTGAGTTTGAGGTATTATTTTAACTACCTACTTTTATTCTGTGTGAAAAGTAACTTTCAATTACAGGCCTACCTTAGGGATATGCCTCATAGATCTATAAAGCAATTCCTTTCATCATTAGATATAAAATATGGACTAACACGATCGGGTGACATTTAATTGCGAAGCATTCGTTTTGGCTTTGAAACTGTCAGATATTGTATTTGCGAAGGTTTATATGTATTTCTATACAGTAATAGTTTTGCCAGCATATCTGGAAAAATGCACACTAAACATGCAAACCAACTCCTGTTCTGAATATAAGGTGTCAACTTACTACAAGATTCCCGTACGTAGAACGGGCA